GTTCATATGTCTACGGGCTTCCAAGTACTAATAGAATATAGAATTTTCTGAATAAACTCTTTTTTATTTGAATTGGTTAGACCTCACATCTTAACCTCTTCTTTTTAATGACGAAACTACCTATGATACTTCTCTTGTATATATAGTGCTAATATTTCTTAAATTCCTTAATTTCACGTTGATGATAAAAGTTTCATCAACTTAAATTACATAAAATAACAAATCTTAAAATTACATTCTTAACATTTTTTTCTTTCAAAAGAAAACAAAATAACCAAATTTCTTTTTAGCTAGAAATCAAGTGAAGATTCCTAGTTAAATGAGCAGTTAAGCTCTTAGCCACTAGACTCACCACGTTCACTAAATAGGGATGAATACATGTCACCTTGATATAAAGACGAGTACTCTGTCGATGATAGAAAAAGTAATAATGAAACCTGAATCTAAGAGCCGTTCGGACATAAGAAAACTTTCATTTTTTTTTTTGAAAAATTTTCATTTTTTTCTCAAAATTAGTTTGGCCATAAATTTTCAAATTTTCACTTGAAAATAGATTTTGGAATTTTTTGAAAATTTAAAAAACTCCAAAAAGCTGTTTTTCAAAAATTTTACTCACAAAACTTCAAAAACAACCCAAAATTTTATTCATGTCCAAATACAACTATAATTTTTAAATATCATTTTCACTTGTAAAACAATTTCACTTTTTTCCGGACTTTTACAATTCTTATGTCCAAATGCCCACTAAAGAATTGGTGGGTTTTTGGCGAATTGGTTCAGTTTAATTCAATTGATCGGTCTTTTTTAAAATTATTTTTACCTCTCATGTTTGAGTTTTCTTGAAAAAGAAAATTGTGAATTGAGATGGAAAAGAAAAAGGAGAATGAGTCATAAGTGAAGCTTGACGGAGGACATAAATCAAAAGATTTAGAAATGAAAGAATTTTTTTGTGATTGTTTTGCCATTTACGGATTTAACGAAAATGGCATTGACTGGAATCCTAGAAGCAAGATACTGTAATTTATATGTTCCATGACAAGAGTAGGTTGCTCTAGTGGTGAGCACCATCCATTTCAACCAAGAGGTTGTGAGTTCGAGTCACCCCAAGAACAAAGTGAGAGTTCTTGGAGGGAGAAAGCCGAAGGTCTATCAGAAACAATCTTTCTACCCCAGAGTAGAGGTAAGGTTTGCGTACAAACTACCATCCCCAGACCCATTAGTGATATTATACTGAGTTGTTATTGTTGTTCTTCTATGTCATGCTTTTAAATTTAAACTTTCAATTATCCTTAAGTTAATGTTATGCTTTTTAGCTATAAACATATCATTGTATGTGTGCGACCCTAAGACATACTAAAGGAAAAACTATCCTCCCTAGAGTAGAGGTAAGGTTTGCGTACAAACTACTCTCCTTAGACCCACTAGTAAAATTATACTGAGTTGTTATTGTTGTTCTTCTATGTCACGCTTTTAAATTTAAACTTTCAATTATCCTTAAGTTAATGTTATGCTTTTTAGCTATAAACATATCATTGTATGTGTACGACCCTAAGACATACTAAAGGAAAAACTATCCTCCCTAGAGTAGAGGTAAGGTTTGCGTACAAACTACCATCCGCAGACCCATTAGTGATATTATACTGAGTTGTTATTGTTGTTCTTCTATGTCACGCTTTTAAATTTAAACTTTCAATTATCCTTAAGTTAATGTTATGCTTTTTAGCTATAAACATATCATTGTATGTGTACGACCCTAAGACATACTAAAGGAAAAAAATTGGCAGAATTAAATCCCAAAGTCAAAAGTGATTTTTTTCCCCCCAAAATATTTTTTCCCCTCAAATTGAGATGTTTGACCAATTTTGTTTTTTTAGTGAGGGTGTTTTTGGAAAAAAACAGAAGAAAAACAGAAAAAAGTAGCTTCCACTAAAAGCAGAGACAATTTTGACTTATTTTGCTTATCAAAAATAGCTTTAGAAAAATATAGTATATATCAAAATAATCTTACTTATTTTAACCCTAATATTTAGAATTAGAGATTATATTATTGAGAACGCTCCTACTGTATAAATATGTTGAATGATTTTTATATATTTAAATCATTTTGAAAGAATTAAAGTGCTTTTCAATTTTATTTTTATATTTTACTTAAATAAAATAATTTTTTTTAAATTATTATCCTTAATAGTAAATAATTGAGATTATTTATTTATTTATATAATATTAAAGATTAAGTAAATTTCTTTATATCTTTATTCGTAATTTGATGGAGTACTTAAAAGCTCTTTTCAAAAAGTTTGACCAAATACAAATTAATGCTCAAAAGTATTTTTCATATTGATTAGTCAAACATAAATTGTTTATTTCCAAAAGTACTCCTTTGAAAAATACTTTTGAAAAAATCACTTCTCAAAATAAGTTAATTTTTCCAGTTTGGTCAAACAAGCTATTAGATTGACTAGTCTTAGAGTACGCGCGTTGCGCGTGTATTTTATATCAATAAATACAAATTTTATAAAACTTACATAGATATTATTTACAAAGGTGTCTAATTATTAAATGAAAATTAAAAAAATTTAAATCCCTAAAAAATGATGAACATTAATCATATTTATCTAACTCAATAAAAGAACATCTTTCCTCTACAAAATACCTTATTATTTGAACTTTCATTAAGGATAAATTTATCCTAATAAAGAGATTGATTCTACCATTATCATGATAAAGAGATTATACATACTAATAAACATCGTTACTTCCCTTAGGTCAATAAAGATGGGTATATCAGTTAGCCACATAGCCATAATTTGATATTTATTTGCGATTACATGCAATATCTATCAGCTGATAGATTTATCAGCACTATGAAAAAATATGAAACTCTACAACAACACCTTTGGAAAGTGTTTTATTAACATTTTTTTTAAAAAAAGAATATTTTGAAATAGCTAATATTTTTAACATTATTCACCTTAAATCTTTAAAATTTTAGCTAATTTGAAAATAATTGTAAGCTTCTGAGTTTTGCTTTAAGTTTTCATCTCTTGGTATCTTGAAGTGGAAGACTTCTAATGTCACCTTAATTATTGTTATATCAGGTGAAATAACAATTCCTTATATATTCTTGTGAAAATTAACTCAATCAACTTATATAAGTAATTTTTTGAGATTACATTCCTAAATATTATGAGTTCTTATATATTTCAAATAAAAAAAAAAACTAATAATCAAAATGTTAGTTAATTTTAATGTCCCAAATATTAAAAATATTAATTAAATATTAATTTTATCCAATGTAAAATTTATTTTATATGATAAAAATGTCGACCAATTTTGCGTTTATGTTTCGTACTTTTATAATAGTTTGTATTGATTGAAGAAGGCAAAATTAAGTGAAACGTTATTTTTCTATATATTTAATAGTTTTTAATTTATATTTACCACATAATTACTATAAATCAATATGCTTTGTTGCAAATACTAAGTGGAGTAAAACAATTATTCTAAAAATTACTCATTGATGTTAAAAAACTATTTTGTTCATCATGATAAAGTACTGTCATTTTCGAATTGCCATATAAAAATTACTTCAAAAGAACGGCTACAAGTTTTATACTAATGATCCAAATAATTGACTTCTTAATTATTTATTTAAGGTAAAATTTCAATCGATTTTAAAATCCTACATTTTAGGTACCTAATTTAAATAAGTAAAGATTTAATAACTAAATTTCAATGAGTTTTTACTTTTTCAAGTCCTAAATATTAGGATAATCAAATGACTATTTTATACAATATGAATTATATTTTAAAGGGGTAGAAAAAACGAAGGTAAACTTTTAATATAGTAAAGATTAGGGATATGGAGTCCTTAGTTTCTGGAATAGATATTTCAATGCCACTCACATGTAAGTTAAACGAATTAGGTTAATAGAATTAATGAATCATTCAATTTTCTTCTTCCTTCCTTTTTCCTTCTTTTACGTAAATATAAAAATTCTTGTCTCAACCTAATTTAGGCACAGTCAAACAAATCTCTGACAGTGTGTAAACTAATACTAGTATAAAAATTAGTCAATTCCTTTTTTCAAATCAAAATTGGAACATCCGACGGTCATAAGTAGCACACGTGGAAATATCTCATCCATTGCCGAAAATTTTGCAGATTTGCCGCGCTGAGGTCATATATGCTCCAGGTTCGAAATTTGTCCTTTGTCCGAAACCCAAGGCTTGGAGAACCCGAACCTACACCAGTTTCCAAACAAAAATCCTATCTGTCAAGTCGATAAACAAAAGGCTCGGAATCTCCGAACCTAAAGTTCAAAATCCGAACCTCCACATCACCTTCATCTCTCGTCTCTGCTTAAACATGTAACTAAATCTCAGCTTCCCTTATTCACTGCTGCATTAAACTTTTCCCCACCCACGCCCTCAATATCACCCCACGCGGTGGCGAATCTATTGACCGCCTAACCGTCCGATCATTTGCCCCCAGAAAAATCTCCCACCGGTAAATTTATATATTCAAGTGTTTTTACCTATATATCCCGCCGGTATTTCTTTAATTGTTTTTGTGTTATTAGCATCATCAATTTTTATCTTTTTATATCTCTGTAACTAGATTTGAACGTGTTTGGTGTGATTTTTAATTAGAGTATGAGTTTATCCTTTCTTCTTTTTTGTTACTCCTTTTCATCTCTGTAAACTAAGGTGTTCATGCATGTGTGTGTGTGTGTGTGTGTAAAGAAGGATTGTTTTTGAGCTGTGTAAGAAACGTGTCTCTTGATTGTTCTGTAGAAGTGTAAGAGTCGTGTGGATTTAAGCAAATTGAACCCTCCATTTGACTGTCCACTCTCTCTCCTCTCTCTCTCTCAAAACAATGATCTGTCCTTTTCTCTCTCTCTCCCTCTCTCTCTCTCTCAAAACAATGATCTGTCCTTCTCTCTCTCTCTCTCTCTCTCTCTCTCTCTCTCTCTCTCTCTCTCTCTCCATTTTGAGGTTGATTCACGAAATATTATAAACCATAAAAAATGATTTTTTTGAAGTTTTAAAACGTGATAATCTTACATGTATAATTCAGTATTCTGTTTCCATTATTGTTATTGGAATATCAATAAATTGAAAATTCTAAAATGGGCAGCGACTTAAATGCATACCCTACATGTTCACATGCAAAGGGTGATAGGTTAGCTTTAATTGCTAAGTTCATAGAAAGAAGCAACTCAATTTATCTTTTTTCCTTTTTTTTTTGGTGGGTTTTATACGCTTCACAGGCGAAGCATCAGATGTCATAGTTGAAATCAAAAGTTCACTTTGGATTTGTAGTTGATTCTCAGTAGTGTTACGGTGATGTCAGTGGAGGAAAGGCCGTCATCTTCATCTTCAACGTCGTCAACGACGTCGTCGTGTATGGTGGTGGATCCGTTGTTGAGGGATCTGAGTGAGAAGAAACAGAATTTCCGGCGAAATGTAGTGTCCCTTGCAGCGGAGCTCAAGGAGGTTCGCAACCGTCTCGCTTCTCAAGAACAATCTTTTGTTCGTGAAACCATAACCAGACAGGTCAAATTGATTTAGTATGATTTATGGTTGAGTGAAATGATTTTTTACTTTTTTTTTTGGTCTTTTTTCCCCTATATGTGCAGTGGAGTTTAAGTGTGGGTCAGGCGATTCTTGGACTTTGTCTGATTATTGTGTGTTTTTTGTTTTCTCACAGGTAGCAGAGAGTAAAGCTAAGAAAATGGAAGAAGAGATAAACAAATTGCAAAAGAATTTGGAGCAGAAAGACGGGCAGCTTCAAGTTTCTTCTTTAAACACCGAGAAGGTAATAGTCATTAGTGTCACTGTACTTGAAAAATTATGCATCTTTTAGTGCAATTATTTCTTGCATATTTGGTTTGATGGTTTTGAATTTTAGATAAATTTAGTGGTTTTGGATCTGGGTGGAGTTGGGTTCCAAGATCTTGCGTGGGAGGCACCTGAGTTAATTTGGAAATACTGAAAAAACAGATACTTGAAAGGAATATGATGATGGATATCTTTTGAAGCTGCTTTTTGGTTGTTTTTGTTTGTCCTTTTGGGAAATTGAGGAATAGTATTGAGTAATTAATCTAACATTATTGTCTCTAGTATTATTTCTTTTATAAATGAAGTGGTCCAAGGACTTTGTCTGGGTCTTGGATGGTTCAAAAAATTTGTTTCTTTTAGCTGAGTTAGTGAGATAAAGAGGAATCTTGGACGACTTACCATTTAACAAATCAAACCACTTTTTGGCTACACATGTTAGTGGCTTTTAGATGGCCAGCACTGGGTTGTAAACATCACTTTCTTCCCTTTTGTTTGGCATTTAAAATTAAATGTACATCTTTTAGTTCTTTGAGTCCACTTGGGCTCCCAATCTCTGGTCATGCACGCCTTTTGTGTTACCAGCTTCTTGGAAAGGATATTTATATATAGCAAGTGTTGAAACTGTCTATTATGAGAGTTAAGTTCTCTTGGTATTATGTATTTTGATTCCTTTAGATGTTGAGGCCTATATCATTGCTTGAACTCTGAATACACTGGTAATTGAGAATCTTGAATCCTCAGATGTTAGAAAAGTGATTACTTGAATTTAACATAGTTACTGTACTGGCTGAATCAAATAAAGAGTGCTCAAATGAAAATCTTAAATAGCACTTTTTAGTATATTGAGTTCATTTCTTTTTCTCCCCCACAGTTTTTTGCCTGATGTATTTAGGGGTAACTTATGTGCACAACTTTATGTAGCATTGTCAATTATGTGTGTGATAAAGTTAAATGTATGTATGACTGCGACAACCTGATAGATATTTGTGGTTGATTCAAACTTTTGACACCATGTTGATGTGAAATTATTTGAATTGAAAAAAATGATGTGTAATTAAGGTAAACATATGATGATACATCCCATTAAGTGTATTAAACTGAAGTTAAAGGAAATTAGCGTGACTAACACATTGATACTTCTTTAAACTCCTAATATTTTTGACTTTTCAAGTGACATACTTCAAATGTAAAGAGTTATACAGTATTCCTAATTTATAAAATTCCTATTAAACCCTTGACTTACTAATTTGATACTTTTAAGATTGAATGAAAATTCAAATTGTGTGGATTGCATAAGGGGAATCTTCTGTAAAGAATATGTTCTCGTCTGGTTATATTTAAGATGCTAGCTAATTTTGTTCACTTGCTTTTGACTTTTCCCTTTATTGTTACAATAAGTGGGTTATTCTGAAATGTAGAGAGACATGCAGTTCTTTTGTCCTCCGTGCAAAGAAAGAAAATTACTGCACAGATGGAATAATATGCATAAATTATCAATTGAAGCAGTTGTATGGAATTACTTTATGGATCTGTTGCTTTTTAGCCTGATTGGGTTTAGCTTCTTTCACTTCTTTCATAATTTCTATTTTCTTTATTTTGGGGTGGTTGAAGTTGTGGTTATTGGAGGCTAGCTTGTTTTTTTTTTCTTCATTTCAATTTTGTAGAGCACACAGAATAATTCTCTTGTTTCTACTTAGTGTGAGTTCAAGCTGATACTGTTTACACAGTTCTCACGATCTAGCTTCCTCCAATTTTTGCTGCCCCATTCTATTTTTAGTTTATATTTTGTTACAGTTTGAGGAAGACCCGGTCAGTAATTTGCACAAGACACTGGTAGGTAGAACCTTTTAAACTTCAAAACTCAAATATGCACTGGTAATAAATCCACTTAAGAATAACATAATGCATAGTCTTTTTTCCTTGGATATTTGTAAGCACTTAATAATATAAGTTCTGAATGCGATCCAGTATCTCAAGCAGTTGGATGATCTTAGATCACAGCTTTCTGCTACTCAAGCAACTGCAGATGCAAGTGCTGCATCAGCTCAATCTGCACAGCTTCAGTGTTTGGCACTTTTGAAAGAGTTGGATGTGAAAAACAGTTCATTGAAGGAACATGAAGTTCGTGTAAATAAACTTGGTGAGCAATTAGATCTTTTGCAAAAGGATCTGCAAGCAAGGGAATCATCTCAAATGCAATTGAAAGATGAAGTCCTGAGAATTGAGCATGATATCATGCAAGCATTAGCGAAATCTGGAGCAAACAAAGATTGTGAATTGAGGAAGATTTTAGATGAGGTCTCACCAAAGAATATTGAGAAGATGAACAAGCTGTTGACGAGTAAAGATGAAGAAATTGCCAAACTCAGGGATGAAATCAGGATCATGTCTGCCCATTGGAAGCTAAAAACCAAAGAGTTGGAGTCTCAGGTTTGATACATGTTTTCCAGGCTCTCTAAATTCCATGACACTTTATGAGTGATTCTTTCTCATGAATTTCTACCTCTTTTCTGGACAGTTAGAAAAGCATCGTAGAGCTGATCAAGAGTTGAAAAAGAGGATTATGAAGTTGGAATTCTGTCTCCAAGAGGCGCGAACTCAAACTCGCAAGCTCCAAAGGGTAATTATACTCTTTACTGCTACATTGATGAAATTATATCTGATACCTTAAACCTATTTGTTTTAGTTCAAGAATTCTCAGTTTAATTTGTTTAGTTTCTGACCAAGTTGTAAAATCATAACACATTGAAATACTACTGAAAGCGATGTCACACATAAATACAGATGGGGGAACGACGTGACAAAGCTATTAAGGAACTCAGAGACCAATTAGCAACTAAGCAAGTCGGAACTTCCAGCAATGATAAACAGAACTTCTGGGAATCCTCAGGGTTCAAGATTGTTGTTTCAATGTCCATGTTGGTGTTAGTCCTCTTTTCGAAGCGGTGATAATATTGTGTGTATTTAACTTTGTAAAAAAGGAGATATGTAGCTAGTAGTCAACTTGGGGAGAGATTAGGAAGAGCTGTAGATCTGCAGTTTCATATGTAGGAATATTAATCGTAGGGTATCTTTTTGTACCTCACGCTATTACAGCTGAACACATCATGTTGATCCTCAATAATTAGATCAACGAAGTACTCGTCGACGTTATATAATCATATTCTCAAAGTGCATAATTGTACGCCAAATTTCACTACGCTAATTATTTTAGCGATCCCAATCAGCAGGGACCCGTCATATTATTTTCTTGTCTCCTATTATTATCTCTACTTGATATTTTTCTGGTGAGAAGTCCTTGTCTCTTATGTTAATTTCGAGAATTAGTCAAAAAATTGAATCTGCCTCCATTGTTATTGATCTATTGGAAAATGCTTTCTTGGTTACTTTAATTTATTAAATTATACTACTAGTACTTAATAGTAAAAGACAACATATTCTACTCTTTAATGAGTTTAGTTTTATATATCAAGAGTAAAGTTTGTTTCGTAGTTCATATCACTTGAAAGATAATTATAGGTAAAATATTCATAACAGTGAAATTAGTAAATTCAAAGTTAAAATTTATAAACTGATGTAGAAAACTTTGTACATTATCAATATAATAAAGTTAAATTTAAATCCTTCTTTAATCTTGCCGTAAGGGAGATTTATACGGCGTTAATGAAGCACGTAATTTGCGCTAGTGCATGCGGTTATTGATTAATCAATTTAAAGTGGCAATGATATGAATACACCACACCGAAAGAGAAATTGGCTATTAGTTTATTCTCCCTCTTAGCTACTGGGGCATCGCCACCTTGCTGTTCTTTTAGGGGTAATTAAAAAACAAATTATCCCATGATTAATTATCTTCGGATTAGTTATCCCACCTTAAAAAAAACACTATAATCCTGAAATAATTAATACCGGGATTATTATAGCACGATTTTATTCCAATCATGAGATAAATTTATATAAAATTTAATCCGGATTAATTATCCGTGCCCTTAGAAATCCAGCTCTCTTTTGATGTTGATAGCTGCATAATGCTTTACACATATGTCCCTGTTAGGCTGTAGTGCTGTACCCAGCTTACAACCCATGAAGGTATAAGTGAAAGAAAACTGCGTATAATGCCCAAGCTTTCAGGGCATAATTTCCTTACACCAAATGGACTAGTCGAGGTGCACGCAAACTGCAAAGACATCACCATTATTTAAACAAAAGGGCAAACATATAATTAACTGATTTTTATTGGGCTGCATTTTCCATTTTATTTAATTTGAAACAGAACGTATTTACTTCGCAAATTCCCTCTATTTATATATAAAAAGTAGTAATAGTAGTAAACTAATACAATGATCATATGAGATCTAGGACTAGTAATCTACTTCCTAAGCAATAATACAATGTAACAGTGAACATCTGACCTATTAAACTTATAAATTGATGGATGTAGATAATGGCTTCTAAAACCAATATATGAATTTTACATCTAAGTAGGTGGTATGCAGGATAATTAACTATACTAAAGCAGCGTATAGGTGTGTCATGTCTAAACCTTGTTGTACTCCTAACTGCTTCCATTTCCTCCTCCAGAACTGTACATAGCTAGAAACTGAAAATCTAGCTTCTTACTTGGTAACTGAACTTGTTCTTAATTTCCTCAAATCTCCAAGAGAAGCTTGCTAGTCACGACAAGAACGATGCAGCCAACTAAGGGTTGCAAACCATTTGACATGGACAATGAGGTGGTTGCAGTGGGAGGAATACTGTCGCTAATGCCTGGCATCGTTCCAAATCCAGAGTCGCCTCCATTCGGTACTGTTGGTGCTACAGAGCTGCAAAATGAAAACCATATGGATTACTCCCTCTATTCCATGTTATATGACACTTCCCATTTTACTTTATTCCAAAAAAGAGCAATGCTTTTTTATATTTGAAAACCTTTTAACTTAAACATGTTTTTATACTCATATAAACGTTATGGATGTTTAATTGTAGAGGTACTTTTGGTACGTGTCAAGTCTTTCTACCTTTCTTAAACTCCATTCCTAGCCAAAACCACAATATAAAATACAACAAACAGAGTATCTGCAGACTTATGGAGCAAATGAAAGTTCCCCTTACCCTGGTACTGCACCACCTGTTGACGAGGCTGTTGTTGGCGCTGGAGTTCCAGGCGTTGGTGTCGCAGACGATGATGTAGAAGACCCCGATGCAGGAAAAACACAAGAACCAGTGCCTATATTTCAGCATGTTAATGATCAGAAAAAAATAAGAAGATGCTGATTTATAACAGCAAGGCAGGATATATAATAAAGAATCCTTGTTTGCTTACTTGGGTTTGAGTTGGTTATCATGGCAGCACCCCCAAAATCACAGCTTGTTTGCCCTGGATTCTTTTGAAAATAGCTATTGAAGGCATATGATGCATGATTTTGTAGACTATTGGGATTATAACAACTTCCACCCTGCTGAATGGCTGAGCAATCTGCTCCCTTTCCACAAGCATAATCAAGCGCTGACTGAAGTGAAGTTTCCATCGCTCCATTCTTAGCGACACACCAGCTCTGCCCTGAAGTAGCAGGAGAGCTTGTGGTTGCAGGAGGCGTTACCGGGGTGGTAACAGGAACACCACCTACTGGGGTTGGATTCGCCGTTACAGGATTACTTACAGGTGCATTTGTGCTAGGGGTGGTAACTGGATTAGTTATTGGTACCGGTGGATTGGGGTTCGTGTCAGTTGGAGGGGTAGTAGAAGGAACTGCTGGAGGTGTATATCCAAGATTTGGAATTCCAGCATTAGGATTTGTGGATGGGACAGTAACAACTGCTGGAGCTGCATTATCAGGAGGCATATTAACTGGAGTTGTGACAGGATTTACTACAGGAGTTGTAGGAAATCCGGTTGTTGTTGGATCTATCATGTCACGTTTAAACGCTTTAATGGGCAACAATTCGAGCAGTCCTTTCGCGAAAAAATGGAATTTTTGTTCCTTTTCCCTTTCAAGTTCTTTCTGCTCAAAACTTTTAGCTGGCGATAATCCTGCAAAGAACATTTACAAGTCCTTTAACTTGCTGCAACTTGTTTGCCATATTTTAACTTTAGTTCAACTAATGTTTTGTAGCTCTTATAAACATCAGATCTCAACCAATGCAGCTCATATTCTAACTAGCCATGGTAAATTTAACATGCTTGATTTTACTGTAAACATCTTTTTTTCCTGGTGAAAATTGGTGATAAATCAAAGGGAATGACACTGACTTTCTCTAATAAGATAAATGTCTTGTCACTTTCAATATTGGTCAAATTTTTGTCTAGGCTTTGTTCCAATATACCTGATTTCACTCCCACCCCACTCCCACAATAAATCAGAAAAGAAGATGAAAAAAACAAAAATATTGCAAATAGGCACTAAATAAGTATGTGAGGCAGCTATTAACCATCAACCCCTCAGAGCAAATCTTCACAGTCGACAAAGGCAATGCTTTTTACCCTTAAAAAAAAAAAACTAATTTAAGAATGAGATAGAGCAAACTTGTCCAACTACAGAAATCCAATATATCAGCAGGTGGTGAAAATTACAGCAATTGTTATAGCATCAACCACAATATTTGCTCATAGGAAAAGGAAAAATAAAACTGACCTATAGTCTTGAATAAAGCAAGGAATACAAAAAATGGTGAATATACATTGAATAATCTTAAACATAGACAGAAAACACAGTAGTCATAGACTAGAAGAATCATCAGCAAAAACAAGAAACTTGGAATATTCAAAGAGAAACATAAAAAAAATGCTATAAATTCCAAATCAAGAAAGTACACTAACCAAAAATGCAGGTAAGAAGAATAGACAAGAAGAATAAGAAGATGAATTTGGAAGCTCCTCTAGTCATTATAATGGTGGACATTTTCTTGAATGTATGTGACTTGAGCAAGAGACCCCAATGGAACTATAAAAGGAATTATATAATGTTGGTCTTTAGAAAAACATGACAAAAGTTGTACTATATATTTAGCAAAGGGGAGAAAGGGAAAAAAGGTATGAGTAGATGATAAACAATGGTGGGGTAGAGAAGGAGAGAAAGTAAAAGAGAAACGAATATGTAACTTTCTAGACGTATAATATATATAGGAAAAAAAGGTGATTACTTTGTGATGAAGAAAATATTGAAAATTGTTTTTGCTTCTCTGATGTGGAAAAGCATAAATTATTTATGTTATTTCTGGTATTCTTTTAGCAGAAATTTCTGAAAGATTGAGTTCATAGTACTAAAATGTAACACTTGTCAAATTGCAGACAATACTACATGCATGTAGAAAGCAAAGTGTGGAAACCTTATCTTTGAAAGGGGCAAAGGATCATGCTGCTTGATTTTAGTGATCAATAAAGTGAACAAAAATCATGAGAAATTAAGATTTCAATTTTAATGGAGATTAAATTCATCAGATAATTTCATTTTAAGCTTTTATAAGTAGAGTTATATGGTACCTAGGTTGATAATATTCGTGGTTGTTGAAATGTATAATCGTCTAATCTAAAATTTAAGTTGTTAAAGAGAGCACATTTCTATTTACTTAATTATTTCTTCAACACGTCTCTTACGTGCGTGCTTGATTCTTTTTTATGAACCAAACACGTGAAAATTATTTTTGATATTGGGTGGCGGTGAGAATCGAATCTAGTACCTCTGTCTTTTCTGATATCATATGAAGTGATAAACTATCTCATCTAAAAACTTAAACGGTTAAAAAGAGCATATTTTTATTTTTTTTAATTATGTCTTCTAACAGTGATAGAATAGTTTAAGATATCCATAAATTTTGAACACTACTACAGTCAAACCTTTCTATAACAGTTTCGTTTGTTTCGAATAATTTTGGTTTTTATAGCGAAATGCTTTTATATAGAACATATATTATAACATAACATAAAAATTGATTCCGAAAAAACTTGACTTGTATAACAAAATATTATTATATAGAGATATTATTATAAATTTTTTTTACCGTATATTATATATAGAAGGTAACATAGATAGTGGTCCGGGGAGCCATGTTTTAGTGTATGAAAAGATATGGGAGTGGCAACATGAGACCAGGAGATACCATAATATTCTATTTTTATGTAAATCACACTACTTCTTCCCCTGATTCACTGCACCTTTTGTTTTGTTCACGATTATTAAGGTAGAA